CATTACCTTATTTCCGTCTTTATATGTTTTTATGCGCTCATCGTATGTGTACCAAGTTTTCAGAGAACGGTATAGTAATAGAATAAAATGTTAATAACTTTGTTGTAATTATGACGTCATAAGACGTCAGAGCTAATAATATAGTCCGCCGTATTGGATTTTGACCAATGACGTCATCAAATTAGCATAGTCTATGCATATTAAATGATTTAACTTATATTTCATTATGTAAGATGTTACTAATGTTGGAAAAGAAGTGTAATTTAATATAAAACTCAGAAAATTTTTATGTTTAAACCAAAATTACCTCTTTTTTTCAAAAAAACTGTCTGCTAGAAACCCGTTACCATGGCAACACAAAAAAATATCAACTTACTAGTATTAAACTAATATGAACTTTTTTCCAGAGACATTTCAGGAAAGGTCTCCAAATTTGATACTTCTAGCGCAAGCCGTTTAGCCGCTATCTGAGATCAAAGTTGGACCTCAAAAGCCGCTTTAGTCTGAAATGGGTTTAAAAATCGGGTATTTCTTCTTTTCTTCACCAAAAAATAGAAAAAGTTCAAAATGTATGATTTTTTGTATGTAATGTGGACACAGAGGTTCCCACATCAGTTTGCAAAACAATTGAGCTGGTAGCATGTTGATAATTTCTAAAAATCAGCAAAAAACTGTTCTGGGGTCCGCGCGGACCCCGGGTGTACAGATTAATCAGTCCGAGAAGGTGTTCTGTTGAGGGTTAATAATGTAATCTGTTTTTATATTTTGTATGTTGTAAAATGCACCTGTTTTGTCCTACTTTTCACTTGTATATCTTGTGGTGAATTCAAATAAACAAATAAACAAAAGATACAAAAACCGGAAGTTCTGCTGCAGGCTTTCTCGAGGGAGAGTTAGGGAGAGTTAGAAATGGCACGAACGTGTCAGCAACAAGGAAGTCCGAGACCTGACCGGACAACCTGCTGCATCGTGCCTTGCAGCTGCCCGACGGATCGGCTGGTATGGTCACGTTCTCCGCCTCCCTCCCTGGCACCCCACCCGTGCCCTGCTGGACTTTGCCCCTGAACAGGCAGGATGGCGGCGGCCCACGGGGAGGGGGGGTTGCCCGGGGTTCACGTACCAGGTGGATGGATGCTGTACGACCTGACCTGACCAACGTCAACATCCCGCCCTCAGAGGAAAGTGGCGGGCCCTGACGAAGCTAGTCAGCTCTTCGCATCACGTGCAAGAAGATTGATGATGATGATGAGAAATGCTAAATCTGCAATCTTCAACTACGTCGTTTATTCTAATCCATATACAGTGACGGGTGACTTTTTCATACTTTGATATCTGATTGTCAAGATTGTTTTTTTTTACAGGGTGCGGAAATACCAGGTGGCAATGAAGGTTCTACGACCTGTCCTGGCATCGGTTGTTATTCTAGCGACAATAACAACATTCCTGTTAACTCCTATGGTTGGTGTTGTTACAATTACACACACATAAACATTTTATGAAAACCCCATGTTATAAATAAAGAGCTCGTAATGGCGACAGATCAAGCAATACATAAGTCAAATGCTATTATTAACAGGACATAAAAAAGGCTACAAATGCAAATAAAAAATCGACCGATCGAGATCCTGACTCTTCATTGCAATGGGCAGCTCAATCGATCAGAAAATTGCACATTTCCCTGTTATATTTACTTTTTTTATGATTTTCTTAAATTTTGCATTAACGTTTGTACATTTTGATGGTAGTTGGTGGGATTTTAGGATTGGTGTATAACGTCAGACTCATTTTTCCCACCAGGTCAGCAGAGCAGTGAGAAACTCCACTCCTCTCCGGAATCAATCTTCCGTACCAAAGCATAAAACAAAGGTTAAACTTACTCGCCATTCTTTGTTAAGTATTCTTTGCCATGCAGTAAATGGAAATATGCATATCAAATACACATACCATATGTCATCATCATCATTATCTGACATCCTCCGTAGAGGTGGAGTATACAACGTTAGCTCGCCAAAACTCTTTGTCATACATTACTGTCCCTCCATATGTGGTATCTTTAAATTGTCTGTAATCACGATGACTGAGAAAATTCGATTTTACGGTATTTTAAAAGTGCATTTAGGAGACGCTCCAGCAAGGTTCCGAATAGCTCGCCTTGGGTTTTTTCATCACTATGTCTCCTTTTTGTATTTCTGTGCTATTTCCAAAAGTAATGTCGCTGGATGACGTCAGCTCAGGAAAAAATAGAGATGGTAAAGTCTTGTGCTGACTTTTTCGAGGCGCGGTATTTAACATTTCTATGACCGTTAGCATTTATATCATTTAGCCAGACAATACTAGTTATATTTATAGTCATTATACAATTAGATAAGGCCGTATTCTGGTGTCATGGGCACTTTACGAAGAAATTTCTGTAGGAACTTGCCAGGCAACAGTGCATTCTTCTTGGCTACCATGACTTTCTCTAATATCTCCATTCTGACTTTGTCGAATTCCATTTAAAATTCCCCCTTCAGTCACTTGACACTACTAGGTAGAACCTGTCAGGGTATAAAACATTTAAGCTTAGCGAAGTCCACGTCTTGTCTTCTTAACAGGCCATTATGGTGACATCACTAGGAACATGGCGCACTTTAAATCGGAGCATTGACCTAGGCTGGGTCACAGATGCGAAGTACACGTCTTTGGAGATCGTCAACACTAAACAAACGTACCACGTAGGGGACATCCTTGTACTTGAGGTTGTAGCAAGGGACGGCTACAAACGACGTAAGATGTATGGCGGTGACTACTTCCGAGCAGTTTTACGAGACAAGTCCCAGACTGCCAGTACAACAGGTACGGTACGGGACCACGGGAACGGTCTGTACACCATTAGTTTCCTCCTCAGTTTCCCGGGTAAGGTGACGCCTGAAGTACAACTCGTTCACCCCAGCGAAGCCGTGCAATTTCTGAGGGAATTCAGAGAGGTTCCAAACAAAAGACGGTGGTCATGTGCATTTAAATTTACAGGTGAAGACGCTACAACAATGTGCACGCTTCTTTCGAACCGATCTCTGCCAAGTCAATGCGACTTTTCCGTACCAAACACAAGCCGAACCTGGTTCTGCCAAAAGCCGAAGACAGCATCCTGTGACAGAATACGTGTCTGCAAATCTTCCCAGGACGTCGTGGACAAACTGATGAGTCAAGAAGAGCAACAGCTTTTCGAATGGTTAGAAAAGGGTTAATATTTTTTTTTTCAAACTACACCAACATGTACTTGACTTGAGCCTTGAATCAGCTCAATTGACCTGATTGATTATTCTTGTCTATCTTTGCAAGTGAAGTAACCTTCGACAGAAGGTCATGCGTTCGCAATTGTTTATGCAGCATAACTCTTGATACTATGGATGGATGTTCGTGGTTTGAGATGACAAAGGCTAAGTTCCAAAACAAAGGTCCTCGTACGCGTGGGGTGTCTCTAAACCATTTGCCAACGGTACGAGGTCGTGAAAATCCAGTTTACTAGCATCAAAGTTCATCTGAGTTGTTTAATTACGTGATAAAAATAACTGTTCTCCAAATAATGTTCCGCTAATAAATACCAGGAATTGGTCGAACATTCCTGTGAGGTAATTTTTTTAGCTGGAGAACAGTCTCATTATTTAAAAATCTTTAGTTTAGCGTATTTCAAACCTTGAATTTTATCTCAGCAACTTGTAGCCCATTCATTCCATACCAAGAAATTCCTCCTATTGAATTTTGCATTTTTCCAGTCCGTAATTATATCGCATAAAGAAACATTATCGCTATCTTAACCTATATTGTTAGGGGGATACAGCATACCGTTATTATGAGGCACAATGTCTGCCCTTAAGATTGATGTGTATTTCCTGCTCTTTATAGGCCTTTCTGGAACACACCTTTACTTCCTGTCATCAATGGCACAATCATTGTTTCCGACGTTGATGGTAAGAACGCGTTTCCTTTCTTTATATTGTGTAAGGAAAAGATCGAAGCTTATCAAATATACGCATGCGGTGCATTGTTTTCTTTTTACTAAATACTGAAGTGCATTGTACAAAAGTCGTACACCACTCGATACGATATCGATAAAAATTGTTTGCAAAATTAATACATAGTAACCAATAGAATGTTTTCTTATGAGCATAATTAAGTAATAGCGTCTTATTAATAAACAAAAAATAACCCATTTAACTTTATTCAAAAGCCCCCATTTAAGCCTGAAATCATGGATCTATTTATTTTGTATACTTGTCGAGAAAATGCGAGCTTATCAGAAACTTAAACCAACCGTCATTCCAGTAAAGAAATTGAAGTATGGTCCATATTTTACTTTAGTTTTTCTCGTATATTTCCTACAGAAAACACAACTGTTACTCAATCACTCCCGTTTTGCCGCCTTGGTGTTCCACATCAACAACCTGAGGGATACTGGCTTCAGGACACATGGCATTCACTTTCTTGTAAGGTTGGACAGTTTCGCACTCCGGACATCACAAAATGCCTAACTAACCGATCAGTGCACTTCAGAGGCGACTCTACTATCCGACAATGGGTCGAGCGCCTAATAAAGTGGAACATTGTTGAAAAAGGTCCAGGAAATGGGCTTATTGGACCGTACGCTTGCTCCAATCACAGCACTGGGACCATAGTCACATTCAACTTCCACACAGTTCCTATCCAAACTGTGAGCTGGTTCCCATTAAACCTTGGTGAAGCCGGCATTTCCACGGAAGTCAGGAGTATGGTGGGCGGTCCTAACGTGGTGATTATACTAAGCCTGTGTTCACACTTCACGGCCGAACCCAAACGTGTCTACACATCCCGCATGTACGACGTTAGGTCCGCTATACAAGAGCTACACAAGAAGTATCCTGAAACCAGGGTCATTGTGAAGACGTGCAACACAAGGAATCATCGTCACTACAGGGAACTCGTCCAGATGTCGGACTGGCTTTCAGTCCAAATAAACCAGGAAATGAGAAGCATTATGGAGGATTTAAACATCACCATTCTGGACGTGTGGGATATGACAGTTAGCCAGCGGTATCGTCATGATATACATCCCAATCAGCGAGTGCAAGACTACCAATTGGATATCCTTATGTCTCACATATGTCCAGATATGGTGAAAAAAGGTTAAACAGTAATTGGGTCCGGCATTTTTTTGGGGGGGGGGGATCACTTACACTTTATTCCTTTTTTAAGAAAATACTGTGGGAAATTACAAATATTTCAGGTCTCTAGACCATTGTCAAAATGCGATCCTGAATTCGAAGTTTGTGCACTTGCTGCAGCTGTAGCGATAGAAAACCTGTCCAGGAATAACTGAAAAATAAAATAATAAATATAATTCAGGAGCCAAGATATCTAAAATTTTCTACTCTTTGGATAAGACCCAAGTTCTCTTTGTGCATTTGGCTCATGTAGAGCATAAATATGCAATAAAGTTATTTGTCATCATTGCCATGTCATCATTATTCCTAAGAACAGTGACGAACTACGAAAAACGTTTTCTGTACACCCCGTTATTATCCATGATCACAAAGCCTTAATTTTAACGGAATAATAGTTTCCACACAACTTTATAAGGATTAATGTAACTCGGCCTGCATAGCAGCGTTTTGCCAGTTTACGTCACTAATTAGATTCTCAGCACCTGGTATTTTATGGAGTTCATTAGTCCACCGTATTTAATTTGCCACAGTTTAGCACAGCTGAGATGGTACAAATACTATTACAAGGTGGTTGGGTTCATTTTTAAATATTAAAATAAAATAATTTCATGTGAACCTTATGTTTTGTTGTACCTTACGTCTCAAATGTTTGTATAAACAAACTCACTCATTTGTTGTCTACATTTACAAGAAAGTAAGTAAGACCCATATCATGGCCATAGGAATGAGTTGGATGTTGTAACGTATGGCATTTGAGTCAAGTCTAAATAGTCTTTGTTAAAGCATGGAAACTACAGGATGTTTTGACCATGTACACTGCAATATAAATATTTTTCTGACTGTTTATTTCCACTGCCCGGTAGAGACTCGGTTAGTTTTACAGGTCCCATGTGCTGACTAATTATATCGACCTGCTAAAGAGCACACGTTATACATGTACCTTTGCCTACTCAAACTGCCTTAGGACTGTCTTTTTTCTTTAGCTTCATTATTCAACATTAAGCATTGTTAGATAGGTATACTTTATTCCGAATTAATTGAAATGTTTGATAATCTTTTAGTTATAGTCAATATCTACAGTAGGACAATTCTAACATGATTGATCCAACCAAAACATAAGATGTGGAGGGGTGGCACAGTGTTATGCATTGTAATTGTTCCAGTCCGGAGATATTGATACAGTGGATGTACCAATCTGCCATTAAAAGAGATGCCAGGCATATTTTGCTAAAAGGCATCCGTCACCCCGACATATTGCTGTTTCCTTAAACCAGTACCCATCCTAACACCTGACCTCATGTGGTGTAGGTTTCACATCATTTTAAAAGCTTGTTCAATTCACTTTTGACAAATGTCGTTTGCTGTCCATTAATTTGGTCTTTTTATTTATTTGTTTCAATTGCAAAGAATACGGTGCAATACAGTGGAAGCCCTGGCAGCTGAGCTGATGTCGGGCCCCACATTGTGAAATACATACATACATAATCATACACACATCATAACACAATAAAGTAACGAATCACAGAAATTTTCCGGGAATAGGCGATTGTTATGGCCTGGTGGCTGGCTTACAGAGGACAGTTTGAATGACAATTATTGCTCTTTTAACCTGGCTATGCTCCTCATCCAACAACTAAGAAATGTCCATTGTCTGATTAACTATGCTATTTGTTATATGTTCAGAAAAAAGCATATTCTTAACCCTGTTGTACTCCTCCAACATAACCTTTGTAGTTGGTCGTTGCCTGGGGTCCCTATTGTAACACTGTTGATGCACTTTGAACAAATGTGACCTGACAACATCACTTCCAGTTACATTTCCTAGTAAGTTGTCTACAACACCTGGAATTTTTCAGATGTCAGATTTTTCATCATAAGAAGGCATTCTTGAGTAATCATATGTTTCGTTTTTAAACGGCCAAAGCTCCCCAGGGGCAACAAAGTCTGACCAAGTTCTTCCAAGTCTACATTTAATGAAAAGATTTGCTTTATGATTTACTTCTGGTATCCAATCCAGGTCACTTAAGACAAGTTTAAGATCCTGCGTGATAAGGAACTGGGTTAGCGTTTTGTAGAGTGTGGTTGAGTCGCACATGACTCGTGTGCCAAGTGGACTATTATGTAGGAAATGTATTGCTTCTAGGTAACTAAGAGCCATATTAAATCTTGTCCTGACATTGTTAAACTTGCTGTATTTAGTCTTTAGGATATACTCAATTAAGTTTGCATTTCCTAATTGATAAAACTCTGTAAGGAGAGTTATGTTGCATGATCCCACATACTGCAAAACAGAAGGGTGTTGCAGGGTCTTCAGCATCTCTATATTTCGCAAGAAGTACACGAGCTTATCCGGAGCCGGCATCTTTAGCTTACTGTACGCCACTGTGTGGTTTCTCCAGGTAGCTTTGTAAACCTACAAAGTGCAGAAAGGATGTAAGTTGTAGCTCTATACAGCATATAATAAAATGTACATCAAGTCATGTCTGTGTGTGTAGTAATCTGCACACTGCATCAAATTCTAAAGAGCCGATGACTTGGATTTGCACACGATTTGGACAGGATCAGGATTTGCATTGTCCTTTTGGATGAGGACGAACATGTGACGCTTGCCGCCCAGTGTACAAGAAAGATTATCACATCACACCTCTATACATAAAAGAACCAAACATACTTTTTTAAGAAGATGTAGAGTAGGGGTATGAGTACTTGACAAAATACATAAGCTTTGATAAAATCAAGTAAAATATGAGATTTTATAACTCCGGGCTTTTTATTGCATATTTTTATATGGTGAAAGTCGATATAGTCGATATAGTCGATGGTGTTGAATTTTATGTGTTAGATTTAGCGTTCCTGGTTGTGTTAACACATGTCAACATTTTCATCTGCAGCCCATAACATGTACCCACGAACGACTTTTTTTTCAAACAACCAAATCAAAGATTGCGCAAGCGTACGTTGACTCCTGACCCATTGGTCTACCCGGAATTGCCGATTCACGCGTCCTGTTAACGCGTACTAAAAATACCCTCCAAAGAATTGTTGCGCCTCGCATACAGAAGATGCATGTGCACAACAACAATTGTTGCGCGCCGCAGGACTAGGGTTTTTAACCAAAGAATTTATCGAGACCGGACACGACTCTCCACCTTTGTAACCTGTAACCTTTTACACCTAAGATACCAGCTGTTTCCCCATTAACAAATCTACAGTAACGTTTCCAGATATACTGACTAGCATGTACCGGTATTTAGTGCACATATCATTGATGGTTTCCTGAATTGGATACTTCACACAGTATATCATAATCTAAAATAAACGGAAATGTTGTAATCTGGAAATAACCTGTAACATTTGTTTGTTTCTGCTAGATCCGCCTGTACTTCCGGAATTACCAAATCGAAATCAATTTTACGTCTACACTCTCCTACAACAGGGTCTAACAGTGAAATAATATGTGCAAAATCAATTAGAAACGTAACAATACCGTTACCTTCTTAATACCGCCTGATCCGATTCTTTCCAGAGTGGTCACCTCATTCGTTATCTCTTTACAACCAAGCCATGGCATACAAGTTTCCATCGTGGGCAGTCGAAAATTTCCCGGAGGGCACAGCCTCCTCTGTCCAGGCTGGCCCACTCCCAACCCTTCCTCAGTCACAACATCCGGATTGGACCTGGACTCATTAATTTTTCCTTGTCTTTGCTGACGCAACATTTCATCGACCTCGTAGTTGAAGAAGCCACTTGCAGGCTGCAGAGATCCTGACCAGAACCACGGCAGTAGGTAGAGAAGCCGCAGAGTAAGGAGGAGACAGGCCACAACTCGCTTACATGCACGACCCATCGTTTAGGAGTAACTCTGACCTGTAATAGGTTTTCAGTACAATTAGAACTTAATCTATAATATTATAGAATAAAATGACATCGATGTTGACCCAGTGCCAGTGGTTGACTGTGCCCCATACCTGGGTTTACAGGTACATTCCAACCTTGGATGGGACTATCAGATCACACTAACTAAGAAGGCATCGAGGCGCCTACACTTTCTCCGCCCTCTGGCCTAGAGCGACATGCCTCCTGAAGACTTGGTCACTGTGTACACGACCCTTGTAAGGCCGGTATTATCATATGCAAATGTTGTATACGTGGTGTGTGCTGAGTCACAAAGAAATACTTTCGAGAGGCTGTTTAAAATCAAGCCATGAAAATCGGCATCGCTTGCGTTGGTGAATACAAATGTAAATTTGTTTTTGTTACCACACAGGTTTGCATCACACAAGTTTCAACACACATTGTGTACATTTTAATTATTTTGTATATGTCTTTGTATATACCTCATTTAGATGTTCATGTGTTGTCTCTCAATTTTTTTATGTAACAAATGTTACCCAATTCAGGGGACTCTTTGTTATGCTTCCCCTGCTGATGTACATTTGAAATAATGCAATAAAAAATTGAAACACAGGTGCATGAGTTCACATTACAAAGATACTACGATCTACTCCACAAGTTCCACCACACAGGCTACACCACAGTTTCCACTACACAGACTGCTCCACACAGGTTTTTCAACACACCGGCTTATATTATCACCACCCAGTTTCTGCCACACAGGCTACACCACACAGGCTTATCACCACAGTTTCCACTACATAAACTGTTCCACACAGGTTTTTCAACACACAGGCTTATTTTATCACCACTCAGTTTCTGTCACACAGGCTACTAGCCTCTACCAGGCTCCGCGGAGCGCTGGAAAAATAGTGGGTCGCAAATTGGAGCTTCTATGGCCGGTTGGATCTTCTCTGGTATACTACCCCTTTATTTCGGCCAATTTCTACT